GAGGTGAGTCATAAGTACCCTTGCTTATTTCCCGGAGAGAGTTACCAGGCCACAGCACAAAGAGAGGGAACTCAAATGGAGCCCATGGTCATCCTGAGTTGAGAAGACAAAATTTACAGTTTGGAGAAGAGTGACAAAGAAGAGAGCTAAAATGAGGGAAAACTTTCAATATCTGAAGATGGTTATCCTTCAATCTTTTGCTGACCTGATCTTTGCATAAATATGAGGAACCTTCCTAGGCCAAGGAAATAACCATCAGACCGAAGTAAAAAGACTAATCTTTAAAGCTAACACAAGGCTCAGAATAGTTCATGTGCTCTCCAGTGAGGATAGAAAGACCTCAAACACACAAGACACTGAGTAGAATCCTTAGAAAGGCATAGCCTCAGGAACAGTGCAAATTGACCCTACACTTAACACTTGGCTGGACCCAACCTAACACCCCTTAAAAGCAAGACTCGATACGTAAACTAATTCCAAGCAGTTTAAGTGCTTCCCAGAGAAAAGAGAAAAATATTTAAAGGAAAACAAAAGTACTCGGCACCAAAAAACATGAAACTCACAATACTTACAATCCAATTAAAATAAGTCCAGGCATGCAAAGTAGCAGAAAAAAAGTTCCCAGGACACAACATAAGGAGAGGGAACCAAAACAAGCCACAATAAAGAGAAAAATCAATCAATAAAAACATATACAGAAATAACAGATGATATAATTAGAAGACAAGTACATTAAAATATCCATTATAAATAAATTTCACATTTAAGTTGGTACAGGAAAGCCTACACATAATGAGGAGAAAAAAACCCAAGATATTAATGTCACAGGATCCTTGGGGTGTCACTTTGCCAGCTGTGGCCGGTGGCACCTTTGCCCAAGTTTTGCTCAGGCTCGCTGGTCTTGGTCCACCCGCTCAGACTGGCAGGCTGAGTTCAGTTTGCACTACTGGCCTGGATCCCATGCCTGCCAAGGGTGAGCCAGGCATAGAGCAGTGAGGGGTGTGTGAGCGAGCAAGCTTGGGCCTGGCCTCTATGCACACCCAGGCAAGTCAGCTACGGCAGGGTGGGCAGCTCCAGATGCTGACATTGGTGCCAGTTCCCTGTCAGGCTGCAGCTAGAGCAGGTGTACTGCAAGCAGCTTCCACAGCTGGCACTGGGCAACACGGTGGCACCTGGAAACTGGGAGACTCCAGGAACCATGGAGCCCCAAAGAAGGTGTTACAGCCCTGGCTCGGGGAGCTCCTAGGTCTGGGATCCGCGAAGGGCCACAGCTCTTTTCGCCTCTCTTCCCTCCTTCTCATTGCTCGCAACATGGTGAGAAAAGGATGTGTTTTAGCCCTGTTTGTGTTACAGCTCCTCCAGTCCTGCCATTCGGCAGGTCCCAAGTTCTCATCCTGTGTTGAGGAGGAATGAAGTATGCGGACAAGTGGAGGGTGAGCCAGGCAAAGAGGTGCTTGACTGAGCAACAGAACAGCTCAGAGGAGACTCACAGTGGGTAGCTCCTCTCCACAGGCAAGTTGTCCCAGAGTGGGTAGTTCTTCTCTGCAGGCAGGTAGTCCCCGACATCTGCTCAGTTCTCAGCTGAGAGAAGATCCACAATGGGTAGCTTTTCTCCACAGGCAGGTTATCCCTACATTTACTCAAGTTTGGCTGAGTCGGGGGGTTTTATGAGCTTCAGAGGTAAGGAAGTGCATGCTGATTGGTCCATGGGCAGCCATGGGGTGGCATGAAAAAAGCACCCTAAGTTCTCATTCTGGTCTGCAGAACTGGCAGCTTGGACCCCAGGTTTCAGGCTGTCCCTGGCCTGAAGATGAGGTTTCACTGGGGACCCATTCTTTTCCGCCCAGGAGCCAGTCCGCCTCCTGCTGCCATTAACCTGCTGTCCACGGTGCCCATGGCACCCAGGCTGTTTGTGCTGAGGGGTGCCTGCAGGCCCACACTGAGCCACCCTTAGCCCCCTCTTGGCCTTCCTCCCATGCATGTTAGGCCGAGGTGGCAGAGGACTGGTGTGTCAGCGCTGCCCTGAGGACACGCACACCTGGCCGGGTCGTGACAGAGCCGGGGCTTAGCTACAGCTTTGCTCCAAAATTGGAGAGGGCACCAGTCACTGAGAACGCGGAGAGTCCAGGCAGTGGGAGCAAGCACTCTCTATCCTGTGGGGGAATGGGGGCTTCCTGGGCCCCTGAGAGTGCGGAGATGCCCAGGTCCGCCGCTGGGTGGCTGCAGCTGCACTCCTGAGGGTGGGGTTGCTGCCCCTCCAACTTGGATGGGGGTGGGGCTTCTGCCTGTTCCTGGCTCCCGCCAACTCCACGGAGCTGCAGCCCCAGCCGCATGTCCGTCACTGCAGTCACTGCAGCCGGCGTCATGGTCGTGGCCGCTCCAGACAGGCTGCTGCTGCCATCATTAACACACCCAATTCAAACTACTAGGTGATGAAAAACACAATATCTAAGATTAAAAAAAAAAAAAAGGCAGTGGATAGAAGTAACAGCAGATTCGACACTGCAAAAGAAAAGATAGGAGAATTTGCTGATATAGCAATAGAAACTATCCAAAATGAAACAGACAGTTATAAAAGAGTGAAAAAGTTGAATGTGCTTCAATAAGTTGTGAGTCCTAGAGGGAAAAGGGAGGGATGAGGTGTGAGGGAAACATAATCAACAATTAAAAGCCCCACAATTTCAAATATGATAATAACAGTGAACCTGCACATTTAAGTAGCTCAACAAACCTGTGGCATAAAAAAATAAAAAAATAAAAACATAACAAAGTGCTATATTCCTAAAATGTTGAAAATAAGTAATGAAGCAAAAATTACGAAAGGAGCCACAAGGAAAAAAGGCACATTGCATACAGAGGAACACAGATAAGACTTACAGAAGAACTGAAAGATGAAAAAAGTGCCAACCTAGAATTCTATGCCCAGAGAATATATATTTCAAAAATGAAAGAGAAATAAAGACCTATTTAGTTATACAAGTGCTACAAAAATGCAGAGCCAGCAGACAAAAGCATCGTAAGCAAAATTAAGGTCATAAATCAATGAAAAAAAAGTAAAGATTAAAGCCAAATTAATAAAACAAAACAGTAAAACAAAGAAAATCAAAGTTCTTTGCCCATTTTTAAAATTGTGGTTTTTTTGCTATTAAATGGTTTGAGTTTTTAAATGTTATCAAATGTACAGTTTACAAGTTAAAGAAGTCCAATTTATCGTTGCCTAACCCCAGATTGCTAAGTTTTTTCCCATGCTTTCTTCTAGAAGTTTTATGATTTTACTTTTACATTAATCTTCTAATCCACTAAGAGTTAGTTTTCCTATGTAGTGTATATATAAAAAAAATCCTTCCTTCCTTCCTTTCTTGGTTGTTTGCTTCCTTCCTTCCTCCTTTCCTTTCTTTCCTTTTCTCCCCTTTCCCCCTTCCTTTCTCTTTCCTTCCTTCCTTCCTTCCTCTTTCCTTCCTTCCTTCCTTCCTTCCTTCCTTCCTTCCTTCCTTCCCTTTTTCTTTCTTTTTATGGGTGTCTAATTTTTCAAGCACCACGGTAGAAACGATTATCTTTTCTCCTTTGAATTACCTTGGCATCTTTATCAAAAATCAATGGACTGAATTGGTGAATTTCGTCTAGTTTTGGACTCTTGTCTATTCCATTAATCCATATGTTTACCTCTGAAGAAATATTTCACTGTATTGACTACTGCAGTATATTGACTGTATTGACTAAGTTTTAAAATCAGTGAGTGTGTCAAGTTTGTTCTATATTTCAAAACTATTTTGTCCATCCTCAGCTTTTTGTTTTTTGTATAAATGTTAAGATCACATTGTCAAATTTTTGAAAAACTCCTGATAAGATTTTGACCAGGATTGCAATGAATTTACAGATCAAATTGGAGAGATTACCATCTTAATAAAATATTGAATCTCCCAATCCTTGAATATGACATAAATATCTGTTTAGTTCTTCTTTAATGTCCCTCATTTTAAAAATGGTTTCCACTGTATAATCTTGCACATATTTAGCTTTCCCTTAAGTATTATTTCATGATTTTATGCTCTTTTACATGACACTTTGATCTAATTTTATTTTCTACTTGCTCATTGCTAAAAATAAAATATATTATTTATTACTGACATGTATCCTTTGCCATTGTTAAATCCCTTATTGGGTTTTTTTTAATTTAATTTTTTATTTTTTTGAAACAGAGTTTTGCTCTTGTTGCCCAGGCTGGAGTACCTGCTGGGTTCAAGCGATTCTCCTGCCTCAGCCTCCCAAGTAGCTGGGATTACAGGCGCCCACCACCGCACCCAGCTAATTTTTTGTATTTTTTTTAGTAGAGACAAGGTTTTGTCATGTTAACCAGGCTGGTTAACCACCTGACCTCAGGTGATCTGCTTGCTTCAGCCTCTCAAAATGCTGGGATTACAGGCTTGAGCCACCGTGCCCAGCTCCTTACTAGTTTTGATAGGGCTTTTTTGTGGCTTCTTTGAGATTTTCTATGTAGATGATTATGTCATCTGTGAGTAAAGATAGGTTGACTTTTTTTCTTTTCTGATCTTTATTCTTTCATTTCTTTTGCTTTCCTTTTTTCAGTGACTAGAACCTAGAATATTGAAATGGCGTGCTGAGAGTGAGCGTCCTTGATTGTTCCCAATCTAGGAGAGAATCATCTAATCTTTCACCATTAAGAATGATGTTAATTAATAGAATTTTGTTGATGTCTTTTTTGTATTTAGGAAATTCCCTTCTATTTCTAGATTATTTAATTTTTATCATTAATAGACATTGAATTTTGTCAAATGTTTTTGTCACCTATTGAGATGAGCACTTTAAAAAATCTGTATGCTCTTAATGTAGTGAATTACATTGGCTTATTTTTTAAAAGATTTTATTTTGAAGTAATTTTAGCATTACAGAAAATTTTCAAAAATAGCACAGAAAATTTCCATTAATATTCTCATCTTATATAACTATAATACAAATAAAAGAACAGGAAACTAGCATTGTTGCAACTGATATTATTTTGTTATTAGCTAAATTACAATGCTTAATCTAATTTCATCAGTTTCCCATTCATTTCTTTGGTCTTTGTCTTTTTTTAAAATTTAAGATGCTATCCAGGATCCCACATCGTATTTACATGTTATTTCTCTTCAGTCTCCTTCCTTCTGTAACAATTCTAGTCTTTCCTGGACTTTCATACCTTAACACTTTTGAAGAGTACTTTGCATTCCTGTGACAAAAGTAATTGGAAATAAATAAGGACGGCGTTACCACAAAGGGTCACAAAATGACTTTTGGAATATTACATATTTTGTTTGCGGTTGTCATAAACTTTCATCAAAAACTCATAGAACCATACACTTAAAATGGTGAATCTCACTGTGTGTACAATATGCACCATTAAACTTGATTTAAGAAAGGAAAGAGAAAAACGACAAATAATGTTATAAAAAGGATATAAGCACTATTTCAGTAGACATTCAAAAGATAATCACCAAAGTTATGAAGAGATTTATGTCAGTAAATTTAAAAACTTAAAAATAGACAAATTCCTAGTAAAATGTAATTCATTAAAAGCTGATGGAATATAAAATAGCCTGAAAAATTCTCAGAAACATTAGAGAAATGAAATACTTATTAAAAGTATTCCCACAAAGCTAGTTATATGGGTAAGTTCTATCGAATTTTTACAAGGAATTGTTTCTGTCTTACATTCTTTGGAGTGGAAGTATGTGATTGTGTTACAAAATGTGGTGTTCTGAGGTAGTAAGTCAGGCAATATAGGTAAGCCTATGTTTTACTTGGCAATAGATATGCCCTGACATGGAACTTTTATTCTAAAGGAAGGGATGTTTCTTTCTAGTTGGAATGAAGCCTATGATATCATATGAGCCCCATCTTCAGTCTTCTACTGACAATGGAAAGTTAGGCCAGATGATGTCTACACTTATTTCATATCTACATTATATAAGTTTATGACAATTTATCTTAAAGCAAAATTGTCATCACTCCACAGACTGCCTCCTTTTTTTGATTTCCATATGCATGAACTATAGGATTATGTCCACTCGTTTAAAAAATCAAGAAATGTAACTGTCTCCTTTTTTGATTTCCATATGCATGAAGTATAGGACATGTCCACTCATTTTAAAAATTAAGAAATGTCAAAAAAGTGTAAGAGACTGTTGAGAGCCACACTGTCTCCTTCCCCTTGTGTGTCTGCTTATGGCTCTTAAATTTATCACAGATTTGACTTTCACTTAATCTCTAGCCAGAGTACTTGGATAGCCCTTAGCACTTAGTGAATGGGCATAGAGAGTTATGCACTTACATAGTACTTAAATAATAGTTGGCATTTAGTATTTGTGATGGCCCTTAGCAAATTGTTTCTCTGTAAATTGGAGTGTGATAAAAATTTATTTTAAAGACTATTTCTGGTTGTATAATAAGCATCAGTAATTTTCAAGTACATAAAATACCAAGCGCATTAAATGTTTTGTAGCCTTTCATGTTATCTTCTGATAATGGTTTCCTTATATTTGGAATGGGAATGATAATGCCAGCTCTCCCTATCTTACTACATAAAGGATAAAGAAACAAGGCTATAATGTTCATTGAGTATAAATATACCTTCTGGATTATGTGTCCCCCTCCCCATACTTGTGTTGAAGTCCTAATCCCTAGTACCTCAGAATGTGACTGTATTTGCAGATAAGGTCTTTAAAGAGGTAATTAGGCTAAAATGAGATTATTGGAATAGACACTGATCCAGCACGAGAAGTGTCCTTACAAGAGGAGGAGGTTAAGACACAGACACACACAGAGGGATGACACCTACAAGGCAAGGAGCAAGCCCTCACAAGAAATCAACCTTGCCAACACTTGTATGGCAGACTTCTAACCTTTAGAGCAGTGAGAAAATACCTTTCTGTTATTTGAGCCACCTACGCTATGGTACTTTGCTATGGCAATTCTTACAGTAAATTAATAAAACAGAAGAAATGAGATGACAGACAAAAATACACTTTAGCAATTAAAGCTATTCAAATGCAAAGTTATATTGTCCAAATTAACAATAATATAAGTAATGTCGATTCCCATATCTCTATGTGCTGATTTTGCTCTTAATTTTTTTTTTAATTTTTGCAGTTATAGGTTTTTATTTTGAGGAATAGAATTCAAAATAAAAAGAATGTATTTTTCAAAAAATAAATAATGGTAAACTCTTTACAGTAAGCTAATCTGCTATATTTGTCTTCTTTGGAAAACAAGAGTCACTAACTGTAGAGCACCATAGCTGCATGGAGGTGTTTCTCACTTCGTCCTGTTCCCCTTTGCAAAGAAAGTAAAAGATCTCTGAAGGGTAGGTGGTTTAGGAAGCCCTGGACGTAAAAGATTCTCCTATAAGATCTCTATTTGCCTACTGTTCGTAATAATAACATTTTTAGAAGCAGCGTGAGACAATGGTTCTGAGTGTAGACTCTAGATCCAGACAGCCTGAGTTTCAACTAAGAAAAGTGGTCAGGCACCGTGGCTCACGCAGCTACTGAGGCTCAGCTTTTCCTTGGCCAACACTGTCATTGTGTACAAACAACATTTGGTTATATTGTGATCAGAGTGAAACAAGATCTTTAATTGATGTTTCTCCATGAATCACAAATATAATGCATGTGGCTACTTACATCACATATTATTGTGAGCAAACTTTCAATTGTGAAAATGCATTTGACCAAAAATATAACCTGTCTGAAATATTGAAAAATAACCAGTTATTCAGTGTAAGATCTAGGAATAGGTCCATGATTACAAACAATGTAACAAACCCAACAGTACAATAATATGGTACAGTTTCTTCCAATTACTATCAAGACAAAGAAATGGAGACTAAATAAGTGTGGTAGGTCTAAGGGGGCCATGCCATACTCCACTTATCATGCTGCTATGACATAAAAATACCCCACATCTCACTCCCCAACTCAACAATTCAGCCTCCTACATAACATCCACAGTACACGCTACGTCATCTCCTTCCTGGTTGCCAGGGCAACGTAGTTTATGCCTGTCAGATCTAAGTTGGGTGGAGAACACTGAGGCAAAGCTGTTTTCTCTAAGTCATCTTGACGAGTCAAGTTGCCAGCTTTGATGTTAACCCAGAGAATTTCCATAATAGTTTCTTCCAGGCCCCCTTCACCTCTTTATTTCTTAGACTGTAAATCATAGGGTTCAGCATTGGTGTCAAAATGGCATAAAAGAGAGAGATCAACTTCTCCTGAAGGACAGAGGGACTGGAGTGGGGATGGATGTAAGTGAAAATGGCCATGCCATAGCACAGGGCAACCACGGTGAGGTGAGAGACACACGTGTGAAAGGCTTTCCTCCTTCCTTCTCTGGACTGGATCTTTAAGATGGTGGAGATGATCCGGATGTAGGACAAAAGAACCAGACATAAGGGTGTCATCAGAAGAACAATGCTAGACACAATGATGGTGACCTCGTTGGAGGAGGTGTCCACACAAGCCAGCCTGATCAGAGCTAGAATTTCACAGAATATATGATCAATAAACTTGTTTGTGCACATGGGCAGCTGAAAGGTGATGGTGGTATGCATGAGAGAGTTAATGGATCCACTGACCCAGGATGTGATGGCCAACTTAGCACACAGCGCTCCATGCATGATGACCGAGTATCGCAGGGGATCACACACAGCCACATAGCGGTCATAGGCCATCACTGCCAGGAGAACAAACTCAATCCCACCTAAGGCCAGGGAAAAAAATAATTGGGCTGCACAGCTCTGCAACGAGATGGCTTTATGTTCTGCAAGAAAATGTGCCAGCAGCTGAGGGACTATGCTTGTGGCATAGGAGACATCGACAAGGGAGAGGTTGGTGAGAAAGAAATACATGGGAGTGTGGAGTCGGCTGTCCAGTCTGATCAGAAGGACAATGAGACAGTTCCCCAGCATGGTCACCATGTACATGACCAAGAATAGGACAAGGAGGGAGACCTGAGCGTCCCAGTCACTGGACAGGCCGAGGAGAATAAAGTCACTCACCCAAGTCTGGTTATCTGTTCCCATTAAAATATTCAAGGATTATTAATCTGTGAAGGGAGTCAGAAAAAAACAGAAGCTGTTGAGTAACCATAATAATAACTTTTTTCTTTTTTTATTATACTTTAAATTCTGGGATACGTGCGCAGAATTCAAGTTTGTTACATAGGTATACACGTGCCATAGTGGTTTGCTGCACCCATCAACCCATCATCTACATTAGCTATTTCTCCTAATGCTATCCCTCTCCTAGCCCCTCACCCCTCGACAGGCCCTGGTATGTGATGTTCCCTTCCCTGTGTCCATGTGCTCTCATTGTTCAACTCTCACTTATTAGTGAGAACTTGTGGTGTTTGGTTTTCTGTTCCTGTGTTAGTTTGCTGAGAATGATGGTTTCCAGCTTTATCCATGTCCCTGCAAAGAACATGAACTCATTTTTTTTTAATAGCTGAATAGTATTCCATGGTGTATATGTGCCACATTTTCTTTATCCAATAAATCATTGATGGGCATTTGGGTTGGTTCCAAGTCTTTGCTATTGTGAATAGTGCTGCAATAAACATATGTGTGCATGTGTCTTTATAGTAGAATGATTTCTAATCCTTTGGGTATATACCCAGTAATGGGATTGCTGGGTCAAATGGTACTTCCAGTTCTAGATCCTTGAGGAATTAACTCAAGATGGATTAAAGACTTAAATGTAAGACCTAAAACCATAAACACTCTAGAAGAAAACCTAGGCAATACCATTCAGGACATAGGCATGGGCAAAGATTTCATGACTAAAACACCAAAAGCAATGGCAACAAAAGCCAAAATTGACAAATGGGATCTAATTAAACTAAAGAACTTCTGCACAGCAAAAGAAACTAGCATCAGAGTGAACACGCAATCTACAGAATGGGAGAAAATGTTTGCAATCTATCCATCTGACAAAGGGCTAATATCCAGAATCCACAAAGAACTTAAACACATTTACGAGAAAAAAAAGCAAGCCCATCATGAATAATTTTTTAAGAACACATATGTATATGACCCACCAGTGCTAGCCTCAGTCTTTAGATTATTCACGAAGCTAAGCTAATAACCTGGATTCCAACTGCATTATATCTACTCTGCTTCAGAGAGACAGGCCAGTCCCTAAATAAGGACATGATTTGTCTCAGGGACGTCAGTTAAAGCCTGGAGATAATGTAGTACAGTTTTAGGATTTCTACATTTTTACCATCTTCCCTTGATTCCAGTACAAGAAAAGCATGGTAATGGACAATTGTCTGAAAAAATGATAAACAGCAAAGACAGACAATTGGAAAGTATCTCAAATACATGGACTAGACTCAGCTTGATGAAATATATGTATCATTTACCAAAGAAAACATTGGGAAGAGGCAAGGGTCTTGTGGAAAGAGCCTGGAATCAGAGAACCTAGGTTTTATCTAGCAGGTAGGTGATTTTTGTTTAGTGACAAGTTTCATACCTAAGATGGATTACTATTAAATGACTTATAGTTACATTTAAGGTCAAACTTAGATAGGTTATAGGAAAGTACTTGGTGTACACTAATTGGTAGTACTACTATAGTACTATGGGTGTTCGCAGTAAGATGACTTCTGCCTTGGGGTAAAGTAGCAAATGTGTTTACTGTCACATACCCTCCACAAAATCAAATATAAATTGATAGCAACCTCTGATAGATCTGAAGGCTTGGATGCTTTGAGGATTCACTGGCCTTTTTGATAGGCTTTGGTTTCTTCAATCATTAGTGGGATAAAGGAGGACATTGTGATGGCATCTTGTTCTTTGTATTTTTCTCTTTTCAACTTGCTACTGTTAAGAATCTATCCTTTAAATGCGGGTTTAAAAGAAAGCGAACAAAAAGATGAATGCTTAGACATTTTAGACACAAGGGATGTAGCCAAAGCAGGTGTTTAAAGACCCTTCTTCCCTGTCTTCAGGGAAGATGTGTTTTGGAATGGAGATTCCCTGATGTTTTCTTTTGCAAATGCTTTTTCAGTAAAACTAATGTGCTACATCATCAATTGTGAACCTTAAACAGAAACAGGTTACATTTGAAAAAGTTTTAGAACTGACTCCTTCTTATTTCATGTCCACCTATTCACTAACTTTTCTTTTATTGCAGTGTACACAGTAAGGGAAACTAGGAGAGAAAGGAGGCAGGGGGCATTGAGGGCAGAAGCAGGGCAAACTAGAATGTCTTAGCTACACGAGAAAGACTGTCAATGCTGCAAGTCGATAAAGTATTAAACAAAATATGTAGTTCCAGAAATGCTCGTCTCCTTCATGGTTCAGAGTCACATTTATTTTTTCTAAACTCTCCCATAATGTTCTCCTCAAAAGTTTCTTCCGCCTCCAACACTTCCGCCTTTACTGCTCTGTCCTGATGCTCCCACCAGCACCCCTCAGGGTGCTTTTCTTCAATCCTGACCGGCCTGAGAATACATCTGATTGCCTCAGAGAAGACATTCTAATTAAATTCTACAACCTCAAGTATATATTTTACTTAAAAATAACTGCCAACCCTTGTTGAATGAATAGAAGATGTGCACCAGAAGTAGACATTTTTTCCACTAATTAGGCAAATATCTTGCAGTGCCATCTTTGCAAGATGCTGATTTCAGGGTGAAGATCACCCTTCCCTGTTCTCGAAGCGTTTGCTCATCAGTGGGGAAAAAGACAGACACAGTGATTGTCACCAGATCATTTTCTCCTCTGCCCAACAGGAGACCCTGCGAGCCCGTGACTGACTGTGCTCCTCTCAGCCACCCTACACGTCTCTCCACTATAGTCCTTGTCACATTACAAATGAGTGACAGTGTCTCATCCCAGAGGAAATGTGAACTTCAGAGTCTAACAGCTTCTGTTGTGGAACCACATCTGTTTGTTCTGCTTCCCGAGACTTGGAGCAAGATACTTAGCATCTCTGAGCCTCATATTCTTCATGTGTGAAATGTGCCTAATATTGGCCAGCTGAAAGGTCCTGGGTGAAATTAAAGGAGTTAGACAACTAAAGTTCCTACAGGAGTGCTGGAACAGGCAGGTGTCTGTTATTTACTGATGATCCTTAGTCTTGATTTCACTCTCTCTCTTTCAGAATCTTCTTTAACCACTTACTCCTCCTCTCTACCATCCTCATGTTCCTCTTGCTCCTAAGCAACTCCTTCTCCCTCATTATAAAAGAAAATATACAGAAAATATTTAGGAAGCTTTAGCGTATAGATAGCATTCTAAATCCCCCTTCATTTCACATCCCTAATGACTAGAATCCATTTTCTGGATTTATTTCCTGATATTCATTCCTTAGCCAGTGGAAATTTCTACCCTCACTAATCTATAGAATTTGAATTTTTTTTTTTTTTAGATGGAGTTTCGCTCTGTCGCCCAGGCTGGAGTGCAGTGGCGCAATCTCGGCTCACCACAACCTCTGCCTCCCAGATTCAAGCGATTCTCCTGTCTCAGCCTCCTGAGTAGCTGGGATTACAGGAGCCCACCACTACGCCTGGCTAATTTTTGGTATTTTTCGTAAAGACGGGGTTTTACCATGTTGGCCAGGCTGGTCTCCCCGACCTCAGGTGATCTGCCTGCCTCAGCCTCCCAAAGTGCTGGGATTACAGGCGTGAGCCACCGTGCCCGGCCGAATTTGAAAACTTAAAGGTTACTGATAACCTGTCATCAGCAATTCCAGATAATTTTATTCTATTTGCATTCTTCACTCCGCTTTTAACAATGTTACCTATTTGTTCCTTCAAAGTCACAACTCTGTCATGCACTTCTGTCCTGATCTTCCTCCAATCCATTTGCCTTGTGAGCATTCTTAACCTTCTTAGTTCTCCTGCTCCGTTCTATGAGCATTTGCTAAGGTTCTGTGCTCAGAAGTCGGACTCTACTTCTAAAGTTTTTATTGGAAGGCTTGTTATTTCTAGCTATAATAATTAATATCAGCTCTATATGGCTCACTCTCGATTTCACATTTACCTTCTAGATTTCCCTCCAAAACTCCAAATGCATTCTGCAAAAGCTGAATGAATGTTTCCTAAATGTCTCACAAATGCCTGTACTCCCCTATCCACAAATGAAATTCCACCCTGTCCTCTTTATTTCTATCAACAGAATTAGATTTGTCCCACTCTTCCAATGAACCATCTTTTATTTTTCCCTCCTCCTCCCCATGAGTAAATCCTCTTCCTTTATATCTTCTATTGCTTATCATTCATCTTCCTCTTAATCTTCATCTACATTTCCCTTTGTCCTCATCATTCCCATTTTATAATCCTTTCCACTCTCTTTGTCAATTCAAACAGAGGATGAGTCGGATACAATCTTGGATAAGGCTTGAATCCAATCGCAAACATAGTCAGGCATAGTGAGTCTTCCCCATGTCATAGAGATGATGCTCTACATCACTACATATATGATGCCCCACTGCTAGGGAGTAAAAGACCAAAAGGTTTTCTCCTGGGAAAATTTGTTTGTACATCATCTTTTGTAAAACTTTTTTGAGTCTTCATCATATGTGGCCTCCTTTTGGAGCTCTCTACAACCTCAGCTGACGCAGAGTTCTGAACACAGAAACAGAGCACATGAAGATAAGATGCACAACTTAACAGCTATTTCTCTTTCATGCTGGTCTAAACAAACAAGAAGCTTACCTTTATACAGTGCAGCTCTCAGTGGAAATGGCATTTTTGTTTAGCGAAAGATTCATCTGACCTGTTGTTGAACACTTGGTTTTGATATACACGAAATACATCCATCTTGGAGAGGAGTATTTTCATCATCCTAGCGCTGGGGAATGGAGAACCCAGTGCCACTGGGCAGACAGTGTCCCCAAGATGGTTTTATATCCTGAGAAGAAAAATTGCTTTACTTCTTTGGGGTCTTGTTATCTACTTCCTGTCTTGATTTGGTTGTCTGACTTTTCACATAATCTGAATCCAATTACTGAGACCTAGTTTCTGAAACGTGCAATTCTGAAGTTCACCCTAGAGACATAATTTATCATGGTCTCATTCTGTTTATGCTACACCTTCTCTAGAGCTCTTGTCCCTCATATCTCAGAATATTCTTTTCCAGTGTAGTTTCCTCACTCTAGCAAGTTTCCATAGTGCAATCCCTAAGCTCATTTGAGAGATGCTGAATGACAGTCAGGAGACCTCAACTGCGGGCCCAGTTTGCATTCTAAGAGCCTTTTAACTTTGAACAATTAATTTAATTATCTTACATTTCATTTTTGTTTCTATTGAAAAGAAAATCAGGCTGGCCATGGTGGTTCATGCTTGTAATCCCAGCACTGTGAGAGACTGAGGCTGGAGGATTGCTTGAGGTCAAGTGTTCAAAATCAGTCTGGGCAACAGAGTAAGACCCCAACCCTACAAAAAAAAAAAAGTTTTTTAGTTAACTGGCCGTAGTGGCACATACCTATAGTCCTAGCCACTCAGGAGGCTGAAGGTGGAAGATTGCTTGAGTCCAGGAGCTCAAAGTTAAGTTAGCTATGATTGTGCTACTGCTCTCCAGCCTGGGCAACACAGAAAAAGAAAGAAAGAAAAGAAAGTCAAAATATTTAGTATACACACTCTTAGGAGAATAATTGAGGTGACAGACTTTAAAATAATTGACAATTTTTATTTTCTGGAAAGGTAATATACCCCTACTACATGTTCATGAAATGTTTTATTAATCTAGCCTTCTCACCTAAGCATCTTCCCCAAAAATGATATAGAATTTATCCATGGTATCTCTATTTTTTAGTTAATAATCATTCTCTTCTCCAGCCTCAGTTTTTACCCCTTCTTTTTTTCTCTGCTAATACTAAAGTCTGGAATTGAATAAACATACAACAAAAATGTACTTAAGCCTCTGGCCTTCAGAAAGCAAAATTACTTTCCTACATTTGTTACAATACTTAAGATGAGCAGGTTTCAGGCTGAGCATGGTGGCTCACACCTGTAATCTCAGCACTTTGGGAGACCGAGGCTGGCAGATCACCTGAGGTCAGGTGATCTGAGCCTGGCCAACATGGTGAAACCCCGTCTCTACTAAAAAATACAAAAATTAGCCAGATGTTATGGTGGGTGCCTGTAATCCCAGCTACTCGGGAGGCTGAGGCAGGGAGAATTGCTTGAACCCGGGAGGTGGAGGTTGCAGTGAGCCGAGATTGCACCACTGCACTCCAGCCTAGGTGAAAGAGTGACACTCTGTCAAAAATAATAATAATAAAAATAAAATAAATAAATAAATAAGAGGTTTCGCATTCATAGTTTGTATTTCTGATTGAAACTTCCTAATAAATCATATTGTACTATTTTTGCCCCTCTTTAAGCCTCTGTTTGTACCCACCCTCTGATGATAGCTCTGTGATGAGCTCTCAAATGTTAATCAGTGCCTGCAATGGTCATGTCTACCTCAGTCTAGGATTAAGTTGTTTTCTAAGCAAGGCCCCCCTCCAACAAAGTGGTGGACCATAAAGATTTAGTGCCCCAACCTCTTGGGAAATTACCCGGAACTAGCATACGTTTGAGGGAAACTACGGAAGAAGGTTACAGGTACTCCCAAATTGGCTCATACACACAGAAGTAATGGAGTGTGGGAGTGGCTGCATTGGCGACACAGAGCTGATAGATTCCCCCTCAGGAGCTTCATGCATTAGAGTGTTAATTGCTGTCACCACTCCCAATTCTCAAGGGCAGGGCCTCCATGCCACTCTTATTTTTCTTGTGGAAGACTGTTCTTCTCTATCCCTGTGTCCTGCAGAACCCCACTGAAGCCTTAGGTCACTCTAAAAAAAATTCATAAAAGCTTGCTTGGCAGAGTTTTAGGCTATTCCCCTGTAACCCAAATCTAGCTTTTATCCTTCAATGCACCGATTCCAGTGAGCAGTGAATAGGCCTATATTCACAACGGGTTAAAGGGAAAAAATAAACCCTCTCCCTTGGCTCTAGTATTCTCTTATTTCTCCTTCCGGAGACAAGAGAGTTGTGCTTTGTTCTGCTGAGATATATGCAAAGAATATAATGGGCCACTGTGAACTTTACAAGAGTCCATGGATATCCAGTGCATGTCTCATGGTACTATTTAAGTTGCAAAATAATAGCATTGAATAAAAAATTCAATGCTTTTTATTCAATAAAAATATAATTTTTATTTTTATGTTTATGTTACACCTTCTCTAGAGCTCTTGTCCCTCATATCTCAGAATATTCTTTTCCAATGTAGTTTCCTCACTCTAGCAAGTTTCCATACTGCAGTCCCTAAGCTCATTTGACTTATGTAGAAAAGTGAATCTTAGATGTAGAAAAAGTGAATCTTATGTTCTACTGGGAAAAAAAGAGAAAGGAAGAAAGTTATCCAAAATAATACAACAGATTAACTTTGCGTACCTCTTCAAATTTTTAATATATATGAAGAGATTTCACACAATTTTGAGATAATGCAAGCATAGTGTCATTGTCTGATGTGTTCTTTATCCAGTATGTGCCCTTAAATGAATCATTTCTCTATTTATTTATTCGTCTACCAAGTCAAATACCGGTAATTCCTCAGTACCACCATCTACCTATCTACTTCCATTTTTAAGACTGCTTCATAGTTGTCTATCTCGAAATTGAATGAGTTCCTTCAACAAGCATTCATAAAGGCACACTAATATTTACTATAAATTCATACCCTTGGTATTGCAGAAAAATAAACATGAATATAACAAACTACTTCCTGCTAGGAATTATGCATATAATTAGAGTTGGCTACTTCCAGAGAAGCAGTTTGTTGGGCTCGCAATTCCTTGGCCTAAAAAGCATCATTTGCCATCGTTACAGTTTACTTAGCTTAACCTTAGCACACATTTTCTCACACTGTTAAAACTGACATTAAAAAGTAATTGAGGCCGGGCGCGGTGGCTCACACCTGTAATCCCAGCGCTTTGGGAGGCCGAGGCGGGCAGATCATGAGGTCAGGAGATGGAGACCAATCTGGCTAACACGGTGAAACCCCATCTCTACTAAAAATACAAAAAATTAGTTGGGCGTGGTGGCACGCCACTATAGTCCCAGTTACTAGGGAGGCTGAGGCAGGAGAATCACTTGAGCCCAGGAAGCGGAGGTTGTAGTGAGCCAAGATCGTGCCACTGCACTCCAGCCTGGATGACAGAGTGAGACTCTGTCTCAAAAAAAAAAAAGAAGTAATTGAAAATGTGTCATTCTGGAGATGGATGTTGGTAACAGAGAAGAGTGCATGGTAGTATGGCATGGTGGGGAGTGGAGATATGTGAACTCTCTGTTAAACGTGTCTATGAATGTAAAACTGCTCAAAAAATAAAGTCTATTTAAAAAGGAAAAATGGTAATTGAGCTTGTTCTAGCTTTCACTTAGGTTGTAAAAAGCTGGAAAGAGCATTGCTTCCATCCTAAAACCAGAAAAGGTTTGATAACCTACACAACTGTAACTATTCTTGAATTGATAAGAGAGCTGAGGTTGTAGGGAAACTAACTAGCATGAAATCTGAGGAAATACAGGTAACCCCAGAAAGACATGGGGCGTGAGCTCTGTGTTACCTGGGCCAGAGCATGAGAGGAAAATGAGGCCACCCTAGGTGCTAGTAAGAATTGCTTTGCCAAATTGCTGAAGGTTAAGTGTGAGGTACTGTGAGAATCAGGAACCGCAGATAAATGAGAAGTTTACATCTTTTCTCAATATTTTATTCTCAGACTTGGAGACTTGGAATGTCCTGATGAGAATGCTTGAGGGAGGGTGAAACGCCACAGAAAGCCTCCTTTACGATGCAGGTTGAGGTAAGGGCAGCAATAGTGGCTGCAGGAAGACAGGAAGCCCACTCACTCTTACCAAGTCTGTCTCCCGCATGGGACGAAACCCGGAATCACTCACTGGAGGAAGGGCAGGAACGTTTTTTTCCCCACAGACAGAGGAAGACTACTGCCGAGGGAAGGAAAAAGCAAACAAACAAAAATAAACACTTTCTAGCCCTGAGTCCAGACCATGAGCCCTGTCCTAAGGCTGGGAAAGAGACTGGATCACTGTGACCCAGGGACAAGGACAAACGATGTGCCTAAGACTGAGATAGATCTGGAATAGCAAAGCATAATCCCCATTCTCTGTCACCAGGACAGCAAGAATTGAAGAGCAGGTATTGTGGCTTAAGTTTACCATGGACAAAAGGCAGCATGTGGAAAGACACAGTATGGTGTGGAGTCTCACAGTAAGAGCTTAAAACTGAGGGTGGACCAGCAATGTTTGAGAAAACCCTCCAACAATTAACTCTTCACCCCAAGCACAAGCAATGCTCAATGCTAGAGAAATTTAGATTCATTGGTGCACAGAGGATAATCAACAACAAAACTCAAATCCAGGTCAACCCCGGATGCCACTGATTCCCACATCCCCTGGACCTACCTACACACACACACAACACACAAAACTGTAGGACAACAGTGTTTTGTGGTTTTTCTCGTAGAGATTGTTTATCCCCTTGTTAGCTGTATTCCTTGGTATCTTATTTTGAGCATGTGGCTACTGCAAATGGGCTTGTGCATCTGATTTGGCTCTGAGTTAGAATGCTATGGGTATATAGAAACTATACTGATTTTTGTATTCTGAAACTTTACTGAAGTTGTGTATAAGTTCCAGGAGTCTTTTGGCAAAGTCCTTTGGGTTTTCTAGGTTTGGAATCATATTGTCACTGAAGAGAGATAATTTAACTTCTTATTTTCCTATTCAGATGCCTTATGGTTCTTTCTCTTGCCTGATTGCTCTGGCTAGGACTTCCAGTACCATACCGAACAGGAGTGGTGAGATTGGGCATCCTTGTCTAGTTTCAGTTCTCAGTGGGACTGGTTCCAATTTTTGCCTATTCAGTATGATGTTAGCTGTGGGTTTGTCATAAAAGGCTCTTATGATTTTGAGGTACGTCCCTTTTGCCTACTTTGTCGAGAGTGTTTTTTTTTTTTCATGAAAAAAATGTTGGATTTTATAAAAAGATTTTTCTGCATC